AAAAAAAAAAAAAAAAAAAAAAAACCTGAACTTACACAAACAAAATAGAGAGAAACACTCCTAATCATTCCTAACATTCAACTTAATTCCTTTCAAAATTCCAGTTGTTTTGTTTGCAGAAAATACCAAGCTAATCCTAAAATGCATACAGACTTCAAGGGACCTATAATAACCAAAGCAAAACAATCTTAACAGAGAACAAATTTGGAAGACTTCTTGATTTAAAGACCTACTTCATACTTCCTGATTTAAAGACCTACTACAGAGCTATAGTATTAAGACTTTATGGTACTCAAAAGTATAGATGTATATAAAACAGAATAGGGTCCAGAAATAAACCCACATATTTATGGTCAACTGAGTCTCAACAAGGGTGCCAAGACAACTCAATGGCAAAAGAATAGTCATTCCAACAAATGGTGCTAGGACAACTGGTTAGTCACATGCAAAAAAAATAAAATCAAGACCCTCAAGAAAGGTTTCATGGAGGGCTGGGCAATGTGGCTCATGCCTATAATCCCAGCACTCTGGGAGGCCAAGGCAGGTGGATCACTTAAGCTCACAGGTTCAAGACCAGGCTGAGCAAGAGCCAGACCTCATCTTTATTCTTTGAGACAGTCTTACTCAGCTACCCTGGGTAGAGTGTGCAACAAACTCAACCTCTTGGGCTCAAATGATCCTCTTGCCTCAACCTCCCTGGTAGCTGGGGCTACAGGCACCCACCACAATGTCCTGCTGTTTTTTTTCTATTTTTAGTAGAGACAGGGTCTTGATTTCACTCAGGCCAGTCTCAAACCCCTGAGCTCAGGTGATCCACCTGCCTTGGCCTCCCAAGAGTGCCAAGATTACAGGCATAAGTCACTGTACCCAGCCCTGGTAAAAACATTTTTTTAACTTTTTACTGTGAAATAATTTTTGACTTGGAAAAATACTACAGGAGTATACAAAGAATATAGTAAACTCATCACCCATATTCCCCCCATGTTAACATTTTAGGTGGGATATTGAGCCTCAAAAACAGAAATCCAGAAGACAGAGGGACTTCTAAGTAGCCAAAAATAGATCAAGTCAGAAAATTTAAGTTGTAAAAGTCTTCAAAAATTTTTTACAGCAGAACTTTTTTTTTTTTTTTTTTGAGACAGAGTCTCAAGCCGTTACCCTGGGTACAGCACAGAAGCATCATAGCTCACAGAAAACTCCAACTCTTGGACTCAAGTGATCCTCTTGCCTCAGTTTTTCCATTTTTAGTAGAGATGGGGTCTTGCTTTTGCTCAGGCTAGTCTCAAACTCCTGAGCTCAAGTAATCCACTTGCCTCATCCTCCCAGAGTGCTAGGATTACAGGCGTGAGCCACTCCGCCCGGCCTACTGAATAACCTCTTTTAAAAAATGAAATCTTAGCCAGGCACCAAGGTGGTTCTATCTCAAAAAAAAAAAAAAAAGAAAGAAAGAAAGAAAGAAAGAAAGAAAGAGAAGAAAAGAAAAGATATCTTAGAACTCTAATATAAAAAAACAGTATGGCAAGTATTTGTGCTCTGGCAAAATAATTCTAACACCTGTTTTCTCAAGCTACAGTATAAGAAGCAAATAAAAGGAATGAAAAAAAGAGTCTTTGCCTCAATATTTTAAAAACCAGTACTTTAAGACAATAATGGTACTAGAGATAAAGAGGGACATTTTATAAGGATGAAAGACTTAATTAATCAAGACAGTATACAATTATAAACATAAATACATCCAAGAAACCCAAAATACATTCAGTAAAAACTGACAGCCCAGTGCAGTAGCTCATGCCTATAATTCTAGCACTGTGGTAGGCCAATGCAGGTAAATTGCCTGAGCTTAGACGTTTGAGACCAGGCTAAGCAAGAATGAAACCCAATTTCTACTAAAAAAAAAAAAATAGAAAAACTAGCTGGGCATTGTGGCAGGTGCCTGTACTGCCAGCTACTTGGGAGGCTGGCACAGGGGTATCACTTGAGCCCAGGAGTTTGCAGTTGCTGTGAGCTAGGCTGATTCCATGGTACTCTAGATGGGAGCAATAGAGTGAGACTCTGCCTTAAAAAAAAAAAAAAGTAAGACTTTATTTCTATAAAGTATAGAAAAATTAGCCAGGTATAGTGGTGCATACCTGTAATCCCAGCTACTCAGGAGGCTGAAGCAGGAGGACTGCTTGAGCCCAGGAGTTTGAAGTTGCAGTGAGGTATGATCATGCCACTGCACTATAGCCAGGGCAATAAAGCAAGACTCTGTACAAAATAAATAAATAAATAAAAGAGAAAAACAACAGACTAAGAATAGACCTAACATTCATGGTCAATTGATTTTCAACAAAGAGGCTAAGACCATTCAATAGACATAGAGCAGTCTTTTCAACAAAAAGTGCCAGAACAACGGACCCCTACCTCATGCCATATGCAGAAATGAACACAAAGTAGGTCAAAGTCCTAAATGTAAGAGCTAAGACCATAAAACTTTTAAAAGAAA